GGTATGGCCGGCCTATTTTTCGGTCTACAGTCTTTGCTTTCCGATACCAGCACCATGATTCTTTGGGTGTGGGAGGGTTACCCCGTACGTGGACCACTTTCTGTCGCTCACGGGTGGTTCACTATGGGCTGCATGACTGCTGGTTTGCTCACCGGAATATATCAGCCGAAACTGGTTAGCACTTGGGCCGCTTTCGGCGTCGGCTGTATTGGAGCTGCCATGCTCACTCTTCATGCGAATTGGTTCGGATATTACGGCGCCTTGATTGTCGCCTTCTACTTCATGGCTGTGTCGATTCCCTTACTTACAGCCGCTTCACAGAGGAGCCCGGCCGTTACATTTGGCGTCGGATATCTGGTTTACAACTTCATGCTTCTCTTTCATGTTTGGGTTGTAGCATACGCTTTCGTTCCTGGTGGGCCATTGGTTCGTGAGCACACCGATTGGGTCATGATAACCACCATGCTCCTTATCGGTGCCGGCGTGTTCAACTTGACATCGCAGAACGCTCATTCTCGCAAGATTCAACAACCAACTGTTCAACCTCGCCATCGCAAATACTATGTCCCCATCTTAGGCATCATCAACATATTCTTCATTGCAACGGCGTATATACGTTTCCCGACTAATGATTACAGACCCTACCATGAAGAGTCCAGGGTCATGACAGCTGGCATGTGGACGATTCACTTTTCCCTCGACAACGATATGTGGTCCTCCGAATACCGCATTCGCGATTTAATCAAGGAACTGGAGATTGATGTCATTGGTCTTGTAGAGTCGGACCTCCAACGGATAATCATGGGAAACCGTGATACAACTCAAATTCTCGCTGAAGAGTTAGGCATGTATGTGGATTATGGTCCGGGTCCCAACAAGCACACATGGGGTGCAGCACTTCTGTCCAAATTCCCTATTATTAATTCCACCCACCATCTATTACCATCTCCTGTCGGTGAGCTCGCACCAGCTATTCACGCAACACTTGACATGTATGGAGAGCTAGTTGATGTCTTCGTCTTCCATTCCGGCCAGGAAGAGGATCCAGAGGATCGTCGACTGCAAGCGGAATACTTATCCAAACTTATGGGTTCGTCATCACGGCCTTCAGTTCTGCTCTCCTACCTTGTGACAAAGCCCCTCAAAGGAAACTACAATACCTACGTCTCGGAAACCTCCGGCATGCATGATGTCGACCCCAGCGACTGGGATCGTTGGTGCGAGTACATTCTCTACAAATATTTGCAGCGAGTGGGTTATGCACGGGTATCCAGGAGCACCATCACGGATACGGAGCTACAAGTTGCAAAATTTGTCATACCGAAAAGTGACGAAGAAAAAGCAAAAGTTGCAGCCATGAACGACGATCCGGATGCAAGAAATCATAGAGTGGAGGAACATGAAGTTCCCGAGGGCTGGAGATTCCCGGCCATGTTCAAGGGGAAGGGTGTACGAGGCCACCAATACCACGTCTTCGATGAGCCGCGATATTATAGGCCGACATGAGTAATGATGTGTTCAATAATGAGAACGTGCAACGACGTTAATGTGAATGGTTCCACAGCATAATAATAGAGGATCTTAATTTGGGCACATCATATCGCCATGACTCTCTGCGCTTTGATAATTAGGTACCTACATCCTATTGAACATCTGCATACTTAATTCCGCTCAAGTCCCTTCAACTCCCCATGGACCAGATCGACGACCTTGTCAAGTTACCATTTGTGCCTTTTCCGCAGTAACGCTGTGAGTAAAAGGAGCTCTGAGATGCTGACTACCGAATCCGCGCACAGCAGCAGGCATGATACGAGAATTAATCATGTACCGCAGAACCCAATCGGACCCGATCTCTCTTCAAATTCTCTTCGAGGACTCTCTGTCGTGTTTCCCGTCTCGCACATGCAACCCGCAACGTTACGAAAGCCGAAAATAAACAAAAGCAAGCGCACACCCGTAACGAGATATGTGGCATGACTCTCTGCACACACATACACACACCTACATACATTGTACATACATACATACCTAACCTATATAATAAATACGCTCTCATGCCAGCCCATCCCCTGTCCCTCGCACGTGAAACCAAGCATTAAAACCCAATCTTTCTTCCCCGTCGCGATAAGTGGCATTCCCAGCCGGGCAAAAGCTCTACACTACATATATATATATTATATATGTACTGCCAGGGACCAATGAAGAGGGATTGGGGATGCAGATATTTTCGCTACAGCGCTTCACGCGATGCAGGAGACCGAGACGAGGAAGTGCTGGGTCAACTACCTACGCTGGACAATTAATAATGCCCTTGCGTCAAAAACCGCGGGGGACCTTTGGGACAGTCATCATTCTTTCATTCATTCATTCATTCATTCATGCATGCATGCTCGTGCAGGGCCCCCCGTCTATTTCTGGGCCCTTGTCGTCAACGTCAGTTCGTGCTCATTGCCTTGTCATCGTTGACGGGTTTTACATGCCTATTATCACGGAACGTATGCTGGACAAAAATTCATGCTAGCTAGGCAAGGCGGTAAGTAGGGGGGGTTTAATTATGTATTTATTTATTTATTTATTATTTTTCGCATGCGGAAACAAGCATGGCTGAGACAAGACGTTTATTGAACACTACATCATGCGCTTTCGTCTCAAAGAATATCCCCTCCCCCCCAAAAAAAAATATCAATTCGCAAATTCGCATTCTCGTATGGTCCCAACTGGACTCTTCCGAGATTGAGTCCTTTGGCGGAATCTTGCTTGCTTCTTGTGTTGTGTCTATGCTAAGTCCCGCATGAAACATGACCGTATAAGAAAAAAAAGGATATTATTGTGATCGACTTTAGTTTTACCCCCCCAATCGTTCTTCCTTCCTCGATCCCACGCGTCCCCTGCCACGACTTCAGCACGCATACTTCAGAATGTGTCTTGAAATAGGCCCTGTACTGTGGTTGTTGCCATTTCTATGCTCGTCGTCTATGGGCGTCGCTGCGGCGGGCCCAGGCGACGCGAACACTGTGAACGCCGCCATCAAGGCCATGAACGCCTTCTATAATGGCACGACTGGACTCTGGGACACGGGTCCATGGTGGCACAGCGGGGTTGCTCTGCGAGCTGTTGCCGAGTATATGCTGGCGACCGGGTCCCAGGAATACGTCGATCTGGCCGACTTTACAGTGGAAGTGCAGCGGGCGCCATTGAACTGGTGGCCGAGCGGGGGCGGCGACTTCCGTGCCGATAGCACGGACGACACGGGATGGTGGGCTCTGGCTCTGACGACGCTATACCAGGTCACGGGAGAGTCAGTATACCTCGAGATCGCGAAAGAGGACGAGGCGTACATGTACAATTACTGGGACACGAGGACGTGCGGCGGCGGTCTGATCTGGAATGTCCCGAGCAAGACGTACCACAACGCGATCTCGAACGAGCTCTACCTCGAGCTCACGGCGACGCTGCACAACCTGATTCCCGGCGACGAGTACTACCTGAGCCAGGCGCTGAAGGAATGGAACTGGTTCAAGGCGACGGGCATGATCAATAGCGCAGGCCTCGTCAACGACGGCTTGACCGAGGATAACTCCTGCGTTAATAACGGACAGCCCGTCTGGTCGTACAATCAGGGCGTCATCCTTGCCGGCCTCGTGCAGCTTTCCGCTGCGACGGGCGATGAATCGTATCTTCGTGTTGCGCGGGGCATTGCTGATGCGGTGGTGCGGGATGCGTCGCTCTCGCCTTCTGGCATATGTAGGTTCTTCTTCATGTTCACTTCAGAAGGGAGAAGAGGTTTAAAAATATACCTAGAGCACTTATTGAGCCACGCCGAAGCTGAGGAATCGCGCACATACCTAGAAGAAAATAAAAAGAAAGTCATGGGGAAAAAATTGCTGAGATGGCAATGACTGACGGTATCGCAGTGACGGAACACGCATGCGCGACGCCCGACCAGTGCGAGCCTAACGGGACCGCATTCAAGGGCATCTTCATGCGCGGACTCGCAAAACTCGACGCCGCGTTATCAGACCATCCGTACAAGTCCTACATCGTGCAGAACGCGCAGTCAGTGTTCGACCACGCGCGAAACAGCTCAGACTTTTACGGTTTCGACTGGAAGGGCCCGTTTGATAGGGGGACGGTCGGGAGGCAGGTTTCTGTTGTCGATCTGCTCATCTCTACGCTCTAGTGTGTGTGCGCGTCTTGGGACTGCTGTGTATGTATGTATGAATGATACATAGCCTCTGTTTCAGTGAATGTATGCCCTCGCGCAGTTCGTGCAGCTGCAGGGCTTTGTAATGCGTGTACTATACCTTGAACCCTTGTGAAGTTTCCGCCATCGCTAGATTCCTCTTTCCATGCTCCATGCCTCTTTTAAACGTCAGTAGTGAGTAGCCTGCGGTTCTGGCTTGGCTCATTTCCTGGATCCCGTTATGGGAGGGAGCGCAGAGAAGGCTCAGTGCCATTATGCTCAAAATCACCACGACCATATCGTGGGACGCTGGGGGTGGGCCGATAACCTCGATGATAAGAAAGAAAGTAAGTGTGTAAAATTGGCTTTACCTCGTGCTCTTAGGTTGATGTATGACGATGCAAGACACAGTGAAGAGATGAGATGAGATGAGATGTGTAATCACTATTCGAATACCAAGTTCCCAAGACTGGCACTGCGCAGTTCTTGTAGTAGTAGAGATGAAGCCTCTCATGAAATATCTCCCGGGATAATAGGAAAAGTGATTGTGAAAATACCCAGACCAGACACAGCAAAAGAGAGTCATGTCGCATTCATCTGTAGGTATGTGAGCGGCTTACCCGCACAAAGGGGTCGACGATGGGTATCTAAAATAACAGGTTGAATCAATCAATCAACGCTTAACGAACACAGACAAATAGATTCCCAGCATAAGAAAAAAGAGCAAAAGCCACAGAAGAGAGAAAAAAGACCAAGCACCTCATATATTCATCCCCCAACCCGAAATCCGTCGAAGGAAAATAATAAAAAAAAACAACTCCGAATCGGGGAATCGAACCCCGGGCTTGACGGTACATCACAAGTGAGAGCGTCAAATGTTAGCCACTACACCAATTCGGACTAGATATCAGATCGGGCAGCCATTGCATAATATGAGCAAGAACCCAGGTGGGGACAGTGGGTCCACGAAGTTTATGATTGGGTCCCATCCAACTCACTGACCGGCTCAGCCCAACTGCTTCCATCACTGCAGCACTTCCTTCCTTCCTTCCTTCCCACTTTTACCTATCCCCCATTCATTACAAGGTCCTCCAAAAACCTACCTAACCTGCTCATTTCTATATGTGGGTTTTAAATCCCACTTTGTCAGCAGCAGCTACGAGTTGCCGACACGCACAAAGGAATTACCCAGTCCTCAACAGCGCACAGAGATGAACGCAATGTCGATGCGTCAAGATTCCCAAGATCAGAAGCACCGCATCATCATCAGTATCATCATCGGGAAGGAAAGAACGCGTGGTCTACGTCCGTAGTGTACTCCCAATCTACCTACCTACCTCCAAACAGACGGCAGGAACGAACAGGCACGCGTCACGGGATTGTCACATGCACAAAAATGCAGAGATTACCTAAAGCAATGCCCACGTGCGCACACACGTGGGCGTCTCCGTGCGGGATTGCGTGCGCGTGTGTTTTGTTGTGTGATATCATTTTCCCACTGAACTAACTAAACCCTGCATTTTTTTTTTCCTTATAAAGCAGAAGCTAAGTAAAACCCCTCGATATGCGCTCCCTCCCTTTGGACAAGACCTTTTCTCCTTATGAAGTGTTATATGATTGTTACAGGGGGTGCTTGTTCTCTCGCGGGGGGCGAGGGGGGCCAGGAAATGCCTACACTACACAGACGATGGGCCTTGTCGAGTTAGGCTTTTAGAGTCTGGACCGGGAAGGGGGGCCACAGATCCGTAGGTCCTAACCCCGCCACCATGTGGACGTGCGAGAACGAACCGAGGGAAAAAAAGAGGTTTGCCGGCCGAAAGAGGCGAGAGTGAAAGGTCCAAAAAAATATGGACAATGCAAATTTGAGACGAGCATGATTTCAACACAGTAACTCCATTTCCATTCCTGTGATTTGACTCCCTTCCCAAAAAAAAAACTTTCCATCGCGTTTGTGCGGTATTGTGCTTTTGAGTCGAGGAGAGGGGGTAAGGGGGGTCGACTGACTGATTGAGATGCGCACACATCTCCTTTACGATTGGTCCTTGCCGATCCCGCAGCAGGTGCGGTAAACGCAGCCGACGGCGCAGGTGGCGCATTGCTCGCCGGCGTCCTTCATGGCTTCTTTGGTGTCCTCTGCCGCGGTCTTGAACATGGATGGACGAGAGGTCTTCCGGGGCTCGGTGACGATGACGGTGTTAAAAGGATGCTGACCGGTGCCGGTGAGAATGCGCTGGCCAGTGCTTATTTGGCGTTAGCAGGTGTGCGGTGAGGGTGAGGTGAGAGGGAGTTTTATGGACGTACTTGGAGCCCTGAGTAGGATTCGCGGAGGTCTGGTTGGTATCCATGTTGGACGGTGACTCGGTAGTTATCTTCTGTTGTAACGGTGTTTAAGAATAGAGATACGTTGAAAGTATCGAATTGCTTTGAGCCTAGATGTCAGTCGCCGTGATGTTGTTGACAGGTAGAGATGGTTGTCTGAAGGTGGTGTGGTGGATCTTATACGGTAGGATGCCTGGTCTTAAGGAATTTGTAGTTGCTTGCATTACTTATACATCGTCGCTGCCGTTTCTAGTCCTGCCTCCTGCCTCCTGCCTTTCGCTCTTACAGCGAGACATAAGCGAGGTCATGAGAGCCTGTAAACTGACGCTCTAGAGGGAAATCTGTAAGGCATATGATCAGGAAACCTCCCCCTCCCTCCCTCCCCCAAATCGTTCTGATACCGAAAAGCGTCTATGGCAACGGTGGCGCAGCACAAAAGCCACATCTTAACTCGACCCAACATGCAGAGTCGAGCCTCTTATATGATCTGATATATCTGGATATAAATTCTGGTGTTTCGCAGGGTACTTTCTTAGCTCGTACATGTGATGGGCGCCTCGTCATAGCAAGATTACTACTGGCCTATTGAATTACATGCCCGAGTCATACACAGAACACGAGTGGCGAATCGCAACTCAACCCTGTTGAGTTTGTTGTCGTTCGTATTACAGATTCTGACAGCCACAGTTCTACAGTGAAGTATCACGGAACAGAGGCAACGCAGTATAAGCTTGTGTTTGATATCGAGAGTGTACCCAAGGGCACAGGCAGCTTGCTTTATATTCCGTACTGTTGACGGTGACCACTCCTTCAGGAATGCACCGGAGACCAATCACCACGCCAATTGTAGACATGGGTCATGCGTCCAGAACACTCTTCTTCACCGGCATTAACAAACTTGGATGTCCACATCTAGTATAGCTCTCGCAACCGTTTCTAAATCAGGGAAATCAGTCCATCCTACCAATTCGGTCGTCTTATAGTACAGAGTCCAGAGTCCAGACGGCCATGACAACGCTTTCATAACACATGTATCATATCTGATGAGAATCGGCATAACCAAGAAATGCTCATCAAATTCTCTCATTCCCCTTATCCTCCGTTCTAAGAAGGGCGACGACAAAACTTCTTAACCATCTTCTTAAACTTCGCCTTGACCACTTCGGTCCACTTCGGCTTATCGGGCTTCCTTGGCGATAGTTCCAGTGACAACACGCGACAAGACCTTTCGGGCCAGCTCGTGGGGCCCAACAAAGGAGAAGGGGTGCGAAGTTCCGGCATGGACGTACTCTCATTTGACAGGCTCGAGCATTCTGCTGGCGATGGAGACAGTGTGAGCAAGGAATCATACTCAATGGACGATGTGTCTCGAAACCACGGCCGTAATGAGTGGTACTCCGAGGTATGCTTGTTTCCAGGTCGCCTGAGAAGTTTCTTCAGTGAGCTGTCGATGTGTTCTTGGTCAGTTGCTGCGCTGGATATAGGGGTTGCGGCTTGACTTCACTAACAATTTATGAGACTTCATTGCGTGCTTGGGTGCTGCTATTGGCTGTTTCTCGAGTAGGGTGTTTTTACACGGTAAGGTGATATCGTATGTTGTACTATCTTTTCCGTAGCCTTTGGCTTAAGGAGGATTGAGCGTTGTGGGCAGGAAGGGAGGTGTTATGGGATGCGCTTCGATGAATTAATGAGGGTTTATGGTGAAAGAAAGAAATGGAACCTGGAGGAGTGGGAGATCTTCAGTCTTTGCCTGTCCTTTAAGTAGTACTGAGAACTCCACGGATGGACTCCCATCCCGCATGCCCGAGAGCTTTTCTCTCCCACGGCGCTGCGTGTATGCCGTTCCTCCGACTCTCGATAGAGTACTGATTGTACTGAATGTGTTGCCAAAATCTACCATTGTAGAAGTACGTTGGGAAGCCTAAGAAGGATAGGGTTTCAACTACACCTAATTGCCCTCCCATATGTATGCATAGATGTTGGCGATACTCGCATGATAACGTGACAGGTGGTTAACCCTGGCGGTCGACGATAACACTACGGTAAGCTATATATGGATAAGCACTCACGATCGTTTGAAGCATGAAGGAAGAGGTGACTTACGAAACTGATGCACGGCATCACATATGGTAAGCCACCACATCGGGGCTGTCAAGATACTTTGTAACTATGCAGTCCTATTAGGTATGTTGACGCACGATCATGACGTTGAGAACACCGGCAAACCAAAGACGTTTGTCTGTCTTATTCAGCAAAAGAGCAGTCCCGAAACCTTTATTTATGGCCGACCATGTGGTTAGCATGTCCGAATGACGCAGTCCGTCATCACCGAGCCATACCTTTGGGAATGTGGAGAATTGCCTTCGATCAAGCTCTATATGCCCGAACCATTCACATTCTCAGAGAAAGGACCGAATTCCAAGAACCTAGAATGTTGGTTGTATTGATGATGGTGAGGACGAGAGAGAGCGGGACGGCGGAATAAGCTGATGGGACTGCACACACTGTGGCTTCCCACGTAACAAGTGTCCCTCACCATGCCTGCTTTCATGACACCGTTGAACTTTCCACAGGGTGAGTAATATGTATGAATTAAGAAAGATCCATGGATACAGTATATACAATGAAAAACACGCATCCGCCAGTACCTACCCAGCCACCAGCACAGTTCGTTAAACACCTCATTATCCTTTATGCCCCCTTTAGTCATAGCATGCTTTCCGTATGTAGTCGCCATCAAACCGTATCCATATCCAGTTGCCTGCCGCCCAATGCTTATCGGACTACTGTCTGCGGAACAGAACCACCGCTCGTGCCTCCTGGCCGTGCTGCGGCATTCCGGACAATGAAGTCACGGTTCTCAATCGTCACACTCTTGGTCATATGGTTTACTTTATACACGCCCACTAGGCGAGATGCTAGTTCGAACATGTTGTTCCGTAGAGAAATGACAATGAACTGAGCATTCTTCGTGCGTTCTTTGATGTAGTTGGCCACAATCGACACCTACACGGCAAGGTATTAGTCGGGTCGTTTCTCAAAGTAAAGGAATAGGGTTGATACTCACATTACGGAAGTCCAAAGCGGCGTCGATTTCATCCATCACGTACAGTGGAGTGGGCTTGTAGTGATGGAGGGCAAACACAAGTGCCAGACTTGAAAGGGTCTTTTCACCACCACTGAGGTTGCTGATATTTTTCCAGCTCTTCTTTGGCGGCATGACTGAGAATAATATACCCTCACTGAAAGGATCTAAGCTGTCGACAAGCTCTAGCTCAGCGTTGCCTCCCATTGTGATCATTTGGTACATCTCCTTCAAGCGGAGCGAAATGGTGCTGAAACCTTCCATGAAACCCTCCAAGCGAAGCCGACGAAGATCATCACATCGTCTCTTGGCTGTGTCACGTTGTTGCACAGCGCCAGCCAAGTCCAAAGAACGAGCATTGTGCTCTTCAACACGTCGGCGGTATTCTGCTAGCACTGTAACATCGACATTGACATTCTGTGTCTTCTCCTCAAGTGCAGCAATCTCGGCTTTCAGCCTCTCCTTGTTCATGTCCTTGAGTTCATCTACAGTAAAT